ACACACCTACACTCGGTTGTTTCCGCCGAGCCAATCAGGCGAGAGGTGGGCGGAGCTTGTTACCGAACTCGGCAGTGACGCGCGAGGTGGGCGGAGCTTGCTGCCGAACTCGTAAGCATTTGGCTCCATTGCCATCAAAAGGGTATTTGGGACGTGAAGCTATACAGCTTCGCATCGGGAAATAGACCTGGTCTCGGGACACCAGAAACTTGCTATATCCCTCAACCCCATACTCTAACTGTATAATATGTCGAGGAGTCGTGTTTTAGCTCCATTCTGTTGTGTGCTGGTCGATTTCAGTCTGGTTATAATCTGGTATGTGTCAAAGGGGCGTGTATTCCAGCTCCGTTCTAGTGTGAGCTGGTCAATTCCACTCTGGTTTTAGTCACGTATATATTGAGGAGTCGTGTGTTTCAGCTCCAGTCTATTGTGTGCTGGTCGATTCCTTTCTATTTTTTGTACAGTATATGTCGAGAAGTCGTTTGTTTCAGCTTCAGTCTTTTGTGTGCTTGTCGATTCCACTCCGGTTTTAGTCTGGTATATCCCGAGGAGTTTAGTGTTTCAGATCCAGTCTATTGTGTGCTGGTCGATCCCATTCTAGCTTTAGTCTGATATATGTCGAGTAGTCGTGTGTATCAGCTCCTGTTTATTGTGTGATGGTCGATTTCACTCTGGTTTTAGTCTGGTTTATTTCGAGGAATCGCATGTTTCAGCTTCAGTCTTTTGTGTGCTGGTCGATTCCACTCCGGTTTTAGTCTGGTATATGTCCAAGAGTCGTGTATTTCAGATCCAGTATATTGTGTGCTGGTCGATTCCACTCTGGTTTTAGCCTGGAATATTTCGAGGAGTCGTATGTTCCAGCTCCGGTCTAATGTGCGCTGGTCAATTCCACTCTGGTTTTAGTCTGATATATGTCGAGTAGTCGTGTGTTTCAGATCTAGTTTATTGTGTGATGGTCGATTTCACTCTGTTTTTAGTCTGGTATATGTCGAAGAGTCGTGTGTTTCAGCTCCTGTTTATTGTATGATGGTCGATTTCACTGTGGTTTTAGTTTGGTATATGTCGAGGAGTCGTGTGTTTCAGCTCCAGTCTATTGTGTGATGGTCGATTTTACTTTGGTTTTAGTCAGGTATATGTCGAGCAGTCGTACAGTAAAATTATCCCCATTTAACTCATATAAATAAAACCGAAACGACGTGTATTATTAAGATATGTTTTGTGTGTTTCCTAATATATCCTGGTTACTTCGCTGTAGATTGGTGAGATTGATTTCCATTCACCTTACAGTGTCACGTTATTGCTCGTGATGTCATTAATTATCAATCAATGACGTGCCGGGGTCATTCAGGGTAATCTTCGTTAGTGATTAACACAGGACCACTGTCAAGGAGGTACCTTATCTGTATTGATATAACACAGGACCACTGGACCGTTTGTTAGTCAGAGTATACCACTACAATCCCTGCTGATATGGTTGTTAGTCAGGGGATACCACTACAATCCCTGCTGATATGGTTGTTAGTCAGAGTATACCACTACAATACCTGCTGATTTGGTTGTATCCGTTTGTTACTCAGAGTATACCACTACAATCCCTGCTGATATGGTTGTTAGTCGGAGTATGCCACTTCAATCCCTGCTAATCTTGTTGTATCCGTTTGTTAGTCAGAGTATACCACTACAATACCTGCTGATCTCGTTGTTAGTCAGAGTATACCACTACAATCCCTGCTGATCTGGTTGTATCCGTTTGTTAGTCGGCGTATACCAATACAATCCCTGCTGATCTGGTTGTATCCGTTTGTTAGTCAGAGTATACCACTACAATCCCTGCTGATATGGTTGTAACCGTTTTTGAGTTAGAGTATACCACTACACTCCCTGCTGATCTTGTTGTATCCGTTTGTTAGTCGGAGTATACCACTACAATCCCTGCTGATCTGGTTGTATCCGTTTGTTAGTCAGAGTATACCACTACACTTCCTGCTAATCTGGTTGTATCCGTTTTTTAATCGAAGTATACCAATACAATTCCTGCTGATCTGGTTGTATCCGTTTGTTAGTCAGAGTATACCACTACAATACCTGCTGATCTGATTGTATCCGTTTGTTAGTCAGAGTATACCACTACAATCCCTGCTGATCTGGTTGTAACCGTTTTTGAGTTAGAGTATACCACTACACTCCCTGCTGATCTTGTTGTATCCGTTTGTTACTCGGAGTATACCACTACAATCCCTGCTGATCTGGTTGTATCCGTTTGTTAGTCAGAGTATACCACTACACTTCCTGCTAATCTGGTTGTATCCGTTTTTTAATCGAAGTATACCAATACAATTCCTGCTGATCTGGTTGTATCCGTTTGTTAATCAGAGTATACCACTACAATCCCTGCTGATCTGGTTGTTACTCGGAGTATGCCACTACAATCCCTGCTGATCTGGTTGTATCCGTTTGTTAGTCAGAGTATACCACTACACTTCCTGCTAATCTGGTTGTATCCGTTTTTTAATCGAAGTATACCAATACAATTCCTGCTGATCTGGTTGTATCCGTTTGTTAATCAGAGTATACCACTACAATCCCTGCTGATCTGGTTGTTACTCGGAGTATGCCACTACAATCCCTGCTGATCTGGTTGTATCCGTTTGTTAGTCAGAGTATACCACTACACTTCCTGCTAATCTGGTTGTATCCGTTTTTTAGTCGGAGTATACCAATACAATCCCTGCTGATCTGATTGTATCCGTTTGTTAGTCAGAGTATACCACTACAATACCTGCTGATCTGGTTGTATCCGTTTGTTAGTCGGAGTATACCACTACAATACCTGCTGATCTGGTTGTATCCGTTTTGTGAGTCAGAGTATACCACTACAATCCCTGCTGATCTGGTTGTATCCGTTTGTGAGGCAGAGTATACCACTACAATCCCTGCTGATCGTGTTGTTATTCGGAGTATGCCACTACAATCCCTGCTGATCTGGTTGTATCCGTTTGTTAGTCGGAGTATACCACTACAATACCTGCTGATCTGGTTGTATCCGTTTGTTAGTCGGAGTATACCACTACAATACCTGCTGATCTGGTTGTATCCGTTTGTTAGTCGGAGTATACCACTACAATACCTGCTGATCTGGTTGTATCCGTTTGTTAGTCGGAGTATACCACTACAATACCTGCTGATCTGGTTGTATCCGTTTGTTAGTCGGAGTATACCACTACAATACCTGCTGATCTGGTTGTATCCGTTTGTTAGTCGGAGTATACCACTACAATACCTGCTGATCTGGTTGTATCCGTTTGTTAGTCGGAGTATACCACTACAATACCTGCTGATCTGGTTGTATTCGTTTTGTGAGTCAGAGTATACCACTACAATTCCTGCTGATCTGGTTGTATCCGTTTGTGAGGCAGAGTATACCACTACAATCCCTGCTGATCGTGTTGTTATTCGGAGTATGCCACTACAATCCCTGCTGATCTGGTTGTATCCATTTGTTAGTCAGAGTATACCACTACACTACCTGCTAATCTGGTTGTATCCGTTTTTTAGTCGGAGTATACCAATACAATCCCTGCTGATCTGATTGTATCCGTTTGTTAGTCAGAGTATACCACAACAATCCCTGCTAATCTGGTTGTATCCGTTTTGTGAGTCAGAGTATACCACTACAATTCCTGCTGATTTGGTTGTATCCGTTTGTTAGTCGGCGTATACCAATACAATCCGTGCTGATTTGGTTGTATCCGTTTGTTAGTCAGAGTATACCACTACAATCCCTGCTGATCCGGTTGTTAGTCGGAGTATGCCACTACACTCCCTGCTGATCTTGTTGTATCCGTTTGTGAGTCAGAGTATACCACTACAATCCCTGCTGATATGGTTGTATCCGTTTTGTGAGTCAGAGTATACCACTACAATCCATGCTGATCTGGTTGTATCCGTTTGTTAGTCGGCGTATACCAATACAATCTGTGCTGATTTGGTTGTATCCGTTTGTTAGTCAGAGTATACCACTACAATCCCTGCTGATCCGGTTGTTAGTCGGAGTATGCCACTACACTCCCTGCTGATCTGGTTGTATCCGTTTTTGAGTCAGAGTATACCACTACAATCCCTGCTGATCTGGTTGTATCCGTTTTTGAGTCAGAGTTTACCACTACTATCCCTGCTGATCTGGTTGTATCCGTTTTGTGAGTCAGAGGATACCACTACAATCCATGCTGATCTGGTTGTATCCGTTTGTTAGGCAGAGTATACCACTACAATCCCTACTGACTTTGTTTTTTCCGTTTGTTAGTCAGAGTATACCACTACAATCCCTACTGACTTTGTTTTTTCCGTTTGTTAGTCAGAGTATACCACTACAATCCATGCTGATCTGGTTGTATCCGTTTGTTAGTCGGAGTGTGACACTACACTCCCTGCTGATCTGGTTGTATCCGTTTTGTGAGTCAGAGGATACCACTACAATCCATGCTGATCTGGTTGTATCCGTTTGTGAGGCAGAGCATACCACTACAATCTCTATTGATCTGGTTGTATCCGTTTGTTAGTCGGAGTATACCACTACAATACCTGCTGATCTGGTTGTATCCGTTTTGTGAGTCAGAGTATACCACTACAAACCCTGCTGATCTGGTTGTATCCGTTTGTGAGGCAGAGTATACCACTACAATCCCAAGTGATCTGGTTGTATCCGTTTGTTAGTCGGCGTATACCAATACAATCCGTGCTGATTTGGCTGTATCCGTTTGTTAGTCAGAGTATACCACTACAATCCATCTTGATCTGGTTGTATCCGTTTGTTAGTCAGAGTATACCAATGCAATCCATGTTGATCTGGTTGTATCCGTTTGTTAGTCAGAGTATACCACTACAATCCCTACTGACTTTGTTTTTTCCGTTTGTTAGTCAGAGTATACCACTACATTTATCAATCCCTGCTGATCTGGTTGTTATGTAACACTTGACCTTGAACTTTAACCTATTTTTAGAGACTGCTGAGACAATGAGGAATATGGAAACCGATCTGATGATGACCAGTATACAGGTGAACAAACCGAAATTTAGGAGAGCCTGTAAGTGTGTGACAAGAAAGGACGAGGAGGTAAGATAATGATCTTAATTACATATTTGTGGTTAAAAACCTGTTATTCTGCGTTCAACTATATTTATCTGTGTTCTCCAATCAGATTGATAACCTGATAGAAACGTGATAAATGTCATGCTCTTACATTGATTAGGCTTTGCAAGACCAAACTTTGATAATAACACAGTGATGAAGTATAACAACAACTCGGAGTATCATATCATATCACTGTTACAGATCAATAAAAATATGATATCATGTATTACAAGTTATAAATACCCCAGTACAACACCAAATTATTGAGTAATTACACAAATCGAAAAGGCGTTACATGTACTGTGCAATGAATATGGGATATTGCATACGCATAGAATCGAGTATTGTGCATACAAATATACATTTCAACACTTAGTATTGACAAGTTTATGACAGCTCCAACTTATTCAACAGAATCCATGCAATGTACAGCATGCCTTGCGATTTTCCTGGTAGTGCTGAAGAGTTATGCTGTGCGATATCGCATTTAACACTAATGGCATTGAAAAGTGTTCTTAGTAAATGAACTATTGTAATGTTAAACATAGTAAAACGACATAAATACATTTTAGTCATGACTCTTCTTGTGTGGAATAATATTCATATGGGTCTGAGAATGTCGTCGCGCAACATCATCGGGCAGGTCATTAACTCAATTGTTGTTCGGCTTGATGAGATTATTTACATCAGCTTCTGCGAGTCCAGGCGAATTAACTGATAGCATGCAGAAATCCGTCTTCCACCAATTGAGTGTAGTAGCAGGAATACGGCAAAGCTGAAACCTATTGTAGTTATATAGTGATTTTACCGTGAACAATTTACGGATAAGATCTTGGAATAGGTAGTCGACTTATAACGTAAATGATATTAGTGTACAACCTCTATACATTTTCCACTTACAGACAGTCGACTGATCCTGTTCAAACACTCATGTCCTGGAAAAAAGGTTTATGAGATTATAACACATTTCAACATTCAACTGTGGACAGTAAGCTGTCTAAACAAAAGTTAGTATATATCGACTAAGTTGTACTAGATTGATCACACAAATTGTTTTGATATAGGAGACGAGAATATACCAGTCTGATCACCAATAATATAAAAAGACAAGAATATACTTGACTGATCACAAATAATATAGGAAGACGATAATATACTAGACTGATCACCAATAATATAGGAAGACAAGAATATACTAGACTGAGCACCAATAATATAAAAAGACAAGAATATACTAGAATGATCACCAATAATATAGGAAGACGATAATATTCTAGACTGATTACCAATAATATAGAAAGACAAAAATATACTAGACTGATCACCACTAACATAGAAAAACAAGAATATACTAGACTGATCACCACTAACATAGAAAAACAAGAATATACTAGACTGATCACAAATAATATAGGAAGACGATAATATACTAGACTGATCACCAATAATATAGAAAGACAAGAATATACTAGAATGATCACCAATAATATAGGAAGACAAGAATATACTAGACTGATCACCAATAATATAGAAAGACAAGACTATACTAGAATGATCACCAATAATATAGAAAGACAAAAATATACTAGACTGATTACCAATAATATAGAAAAACAGGAATAAACTAGACTGATCACCAATAATATAGAAAGACAAGAATATACTAGACTGATCACCAATAATATAGGAAGACAAGAATATATTAGACTGATCACAACTACATACAAAGACAAAAATATATTAGAATGATCACCAATAATATAGAAAGACGATAATATACTAGACTGATCACCAATAATATAGAAAGACAAAAATATACTAGACTGATCACCACTAACATAGAAAGACACGAATATACTAGACTGATCACCAATAATATAGAAAGACGATAATATACTAGACTGATTACCAATAATATAGAAAAACAGGAATAAACCAGACTGATCACCAATAATATAGAAAGACAAGAATATACCAGACTGATTACCAATAATATAGAAAGACGATAATATACTAGACTGATCACCAATAATATAGAAAGACAAGAATATACTTGACTGATCACAAATAATATAGAAAGACGATAATATACTAGACTGGTTACCAATAATATAGAAAAACAGGAATATACTAGACTAATCACCAATAATATAGAAAGACGATAATATACTAGACTGATCACCAATAACATAGAAAGACAAGAATATACTAGACTGATCACCAATAACATAGAAAGACAAGAATTACTAGACTGATTACCAATAACATAGAAAGACAAGAATATACCAGACTGATTACCAATAATATAGAAAGACGATAATATACCAATAATATAGAAAGACGATAAGAAAGACTGATCACAAATAACATAGAAAGACAAGAATATTCGAATATACTAGACTGATCGCCAATAACATAGAAAGACGATAATATACTAGACTGATTACCAATAATATAGAAAGACTAGAATATACTAGACTGATTACCAATAACATAGAAAGACAAGAATATACTAGACTGATCACAAATAATATAGAAAGACGATAATATACTAGACTGATCACCAATAACATAGAAAGACAAGAATATACAAGACTGATCACCAATAATATAGAAAGACGATAATAAACTAGACTGATCACCAATAATATAGAAAGCCAAGAATATACTAGACTGATCACCAATAATATAGAAAAACAAGAATATACTAGACTGATCACAAATAATATAGAAAGACGATAATATACTAAACTGATCACCAATATTATAGAAAAACAAGAATATACCAGACTGATCACCCATAATATAGAAAGACGATAATATACTAGACTGAACACCAATAACATAGAAAGACAAGAATATACTAGACTAATCACAAATAATATAGAAAGACGATAATATTCTAAACTGATCACCAATATTATAGAAAAACAAGAATATACCAGACTGATCACCCATAATATAGAAAGACGATAATATACTAGACTGAACACCAATAACATAGAAAGACAAGAATATACTAGACTAATCACAAATAATATAGAAAGACGATAATATACTAGACTGAACACCAATAACATAGAAAGACAAGAATATACTAGACTAATCACAAATAATATAGAAAGACGATAATATACTAAACTGATCACCAATATTATAGAAAAACAAGAATATACCAGACTGATCACCCATAATATAGAAAGACGATAATATACTAGACTGAACACCAATAATATAGAAAGACAAGAATATACCCAACTGATCACCAATAAAATAGAAAAACAAGAATATACTAGACGGATCACAAATAATATAGAAAGACGATAATATTCTAAACTGATCACCAATATTATAGAAAAACAAGAATATACCAGACTGATCACCCATAATATAGAAAGACAATAATATACTAGACTGATCACCAATAATATAGAAAGACGATAATAAACTAGACTGATTACCAATAATATAGAAAGACTAGAATATATTAGACTGATTACCAATAACATAGATAGACAAGAATATACTAGACTGATCACAAATAATATAGGAAGACGATAATATACAAGACTGATTACAAATAATATAGAAAGACAAGAATATTCCTTACTGATCACCAATAATATAGAAAGACAAGAATATTCCAGACTGATCACCAATAATATAGAAAGACAATAATATACTAGACTGATCACCAATAATATAGAAAGACGATAATAAACTAGACTGATCACCAATAATATAGAAAGACGATAATATACTAGACTGATCACCAATATTATAGAAAAACAAGAATATACCAGACTGATCACCCATAATATAGAAAGACGATAATATACTAGACTGATCACCAATAACATAGAAAGACAAGAATATACAAGACTGATCACCAATAATATAGAAAGACAAGAATATACTAGACTGATCACCAATAACATAGAAAGACGATAATATACTAGACTGATCACCAATAATATAGAAAGACAAGAATATACTAGACTGATCACCAATAATATAGAAAAACAAGAATATACTAGACTGATCACAAATATTATAGACAGACGATAATATACTAGACTGAACACCAATAACATAGAAAGACAAGAATATACTAGACTGATCACCAATAACACAGAAAGACGATAATATACTAGACTGATCACCAATATTATAGAAAAACAAGAATATACCAGACTGATCACCCATAATATAGAAATACGATAATATACTAGACTGATCACCAATATTATAGAAAAACAAGAATGTACCAGACTGATCACCCATAATATAGAAATACGATAATATACTAGACTGATCACCAATATTATAGAAAAACAAGAATATACTAGACTGATCACCAATAACATAGAAAGACAAGAATATACAAGACTGATCACCAATAATATAGAAAGACAATAATATACTAGACTGATCACCAATAATATAGAAAGACGATATTATACAAGTCTGATCACCAATAATATAGAAATACAAGAATATACTAGATTGATCACCAATGATATAGAAAAACAAGATTATACCAGACTGATCACCAATAATATAGAAAGATAAGAATATACTGGACTGATCACCAATAATATAGAAAGACGAAAATATTCCAGACTTATCACCAATAATATAGAAGGACGATAATATACCTGACTGATCACCAATAATATAGAAAGACGATAATATGGAAAGATAAGAATATACTAGACTGATCACCAATAATATATGAAGACAAGAATATACTAGACTGATCACCAATAATATAGAAAGACAAGAATATACTAGACAGATCACCAATAATATAGGAAGACAAAAATATACCAGACTGATCACAAATAATATAGAAAGATAAGAATATACTAGACTGATCACCAATAATATATGAAGACAAGAATATACTAGACTGATCACCAATAATATAGAAAAACAAGAATATACTAGACAGATCACCAATAATATAGGAAGACAAAAAT